TTCCATCTCTTTGCTATTGTAAATAACACAGCAATAAACATGAGTACATATATCTGTTTGGGTGGTGGTTCTGGTTTCTTTAGGGTACCTAAGTCTTTAAACTGGTATCATTGTTCTTGAGCATTGTGAAGAAGTCCTTGACAGCAGATTTTCCAATGGGATATGTTTTGATTGTTAGTACCAAAAGTGTTGATTATAGATCCAAGTAAGTCGTTGACAATTTCAGTCCTTTCTCGAACTATTACAATGTTGCCTATTGGCCCAGTGGTGAGGATTTTTGTCTTCATGATGTTGAAATATAATCTATATTGAAAATTGTATTCTTTGATCTTCTGTACCAAGTGTTTTGAGTTCTCTTTCAGCTAGCAAGATTGTATCATCTACATAGCTCAGGCTGTTGGTGGGTCTTCCTTTGATCCTGATGCCACATTCCTCTTCATAAAGTCCAGTTTCTCTAAGAATTTGCTCAGCATACAGGTTGCATAGATAAAGAGAAAGGATACAAACCTGATGCACACCCTTTTTCATTTTAAGCCATGGAGTGTTCCCTTGTTTTGTTCTGACAATTTTCTTGGTTCAGGTATAGATTTTACATGGACATAATTAAGTGTTCTGCAATTCCTGTTCCCCATGTTAGCCATAACTTGTTGTTAGAGACTATGCAAATACTGGGTATTTGTGACTAGATAGCTTGCAAATAAAGTAAAAGGGTTCTTTTAGGTGGTGATACAAAAATTAAATATATAGAACAATAACGTGGGGATTGGCCACTTTTATTATTTCATCACCTTAAACTGAGCAGACTCAGAAAGAGAGCATGAGACTCTCAAAACTATCAAGAAGGAAGAAGTGGAGAGTGCAGTGAGTCCTGTGAGCCAGAGATCCCTGCATAAGGTGGAGGTGACTTAGAGTTGTAACAATGAGATAGAGTGGCAGCAGAGGTGACTAAGAACCAGAGAGCAGTGTGAGGCAGAGCTGAGCTAGGTTGGCCAGCCCATGATCTAAAGCTAAGCGCCTTTGTGTGTAGGCTTCAGGGCAGAGCAAGGGTAGCACATAATTGAAAGAACTTTATCGTTACCTTTTCAGTCTGTATGCTGAGCAAAAAAAATTATGAAGAATAATGTGGCATCAGGATTCAGCCTCACTGAAAGTGAAGAGGACTTGAAGCACTTAGTGAAGATCAAGGACCGCTGCCCTCAGTACGGATTACACTCCCACATTAAGAAAACAAAAATCCTCAGTCAGACTAATAGACAACAACTTCTTTACAAGTAGAAAGGTGTTGAATATTCCATGAGTTGCCGAAAACCAAACAAATTTCTCTTGAAGAAAGTGAAGCCAGAGTGCCTCTCACAAATTATAGTTGGGGCTATAAAACGGTGCAGCCACTGTAGAAAATGATACAGCAACTCCTTAAAAGATTGGAAACAGAAGTCTTATTTGTCCAGCACTCTCATTTCTAGGTGTGTATCACAGAGAAGCAAGAGCTGGGGCATGATTAGGTATCTACACACCATGATCATTGCAACATTATCTACAATGCTGTATTTACTCACTTTTTTAATAGAAAGAAACTGATTGGGTTTTTTTTTAAATATATGTATATCTTGATCTGAGAGGGAGTAAAAGCCATCCAATTATATACACTTTATTATTATTTTTTTTTAAATTTTAATGACTTTAAATTTCCTTTCATTCATTGTTGCACTTTTCTTCCTGCCCCACCCCCCCAGTACACTCTTCTCTTTGAAAAGTAAAAGAAACATTCTTTCATTGTTATACAGTCCCTCTCCACAGTCCACCCCACTATGTAGCCTACATTCTGGACTCCTGTAAGGAAAATAATACCTAATCA